TAATCACAATACAATCACCATAAATCGTTAAGATACAACACTCCGTGATAGTCATAAGCTACTAAATAAAAGCGATCCACATAACTCGTAAGACGCAAACCACAAAGTGACGGTCCTAAGATGCTAAAAGAACCGCACAGCTCTACTATACGTGGTTTTTATAGCCCAGATTTTCTCGTCCCTCTTTCTGGCTCCTGCATTGTACAGATCCTCCATGGAAGGCAGGCTGGTTGCGATTGTGTTTTCTGCAGTCCTCACTATCCGTTGGACGTTCGTGTCTCTCTGGTTGCTGTGCCAAACCAGACAATTATAGAAGTACAAAGGACGGACTCGATAAAGGGGCCCGAATTAAAAAGAGACCGATAAGCAAAGTGGCAGATTTTCCAACCGTCATTAACCTATTCTATTCTACTATACATAAATAAAATCATTTGTCGCACGAGCCACAATCAGATTATCACTTGCACATTATTTTGTTCAATAATGCCCGGTGGCTTTTCACAATGAACACAATCGAATGGCTTACGGGATTCCTAAAAACCGAAAGAGATCCAGCCCGTAAATGTCACTGGCAGATCTGTGATCCTGTACGGACTGGATCCTGAAAGATTTCTGTCTCCTCGGCCATTAATCATCCCACAGGAGAAGCAGCGCTACGTTCTCCTAAACCCAAAGGAGGGAGATACAAAATGATCCACTTTGCATTTTTTGCCTTCCAGATAACAATCGCGGTTTGATTATTTTATTTTATTTTGCTTTTTTTTTTTTCAGGGATTCTGAAAGAAAAAGGAAAGTGAAGCAACTCTTCCAAAGCCTCGCTCAGCAGGAAGGAGATTGGAAAGCACTCAAGAGGAAAAAGCGTTAAATTATTCCCAGATACCTCGGAAGACAAACAAGGATATTTAAATGATTAGAATTTCCTGGAACGTTTTGATCGTTTTTAAATAGGGGGTACAGTTTTTTTTTTTTCTTCTGGATTTAAAAAAAAATATCATTTCTAAATAAAATTGTATAATATATTTGATATTATTTTGCCTCCGTTTTAATACTTTGGCCTTTTTTTTTCAAAATGCCTGGCAGTCCTTGAGTCTATCCCTTTTCTAGTGATAGACTCAAAAGGCCACTCTGCACATGGTCAGAGGCTGCACCAGCTTCAAGGCACGGAGGGCCACTCGTCCTGCGGATTGGCGGACTGCAGAGAGATGCCCGTCTTAATGCAGGAAGGGAAAACCCGGGGGTGCAATGAGATGCAACTCGCATGTTGGATTCCAAGACTGGAAGGGCAGAGGTTACTCGGAAGGGCAGGTTTACACATGGAGGGAGGGCCGGTGAGCACCAGATCCAGGGATCTGGTGGCAAGGATCCCACGGAGAGCAAGGGCAATGCTACTGAGGAGGTGTGTTAGATCTTGCCAAGTCAGAGAGAGAGAGAAAGTAACTTTTATTGTCATTTTTCTTTTTCACTGTGAGCACACCGGCCCACATTAAAAATGAAATTTTGTTGCCTGCGGTCAAGAGAAAATATATATCTACCCAAAGACATACATGACACACATATACACATGGCTATATCATCATCATCTTTTAATGACCCTCATAATCCCTTGCGGGATGGACTCTAGGCAACTGAATGGAGCTGAATGTTTTAATGGCCGGATGCTCTTCCTGTTGCCGGTGCGGAGTTTTGTTCGGCAGATATATTCTCATCGTGCCCAGAGAGAGAAATATCTGCCTCTACTTAGGGTTGAACTCAGCCTCCTGATTGTGAGGCGAGAGCTATATATATATATATATATATATATAAAAGTTTGAATCTGAGTAAGGGTCTGGCTAGCTGATGAGAGCTAAATAGCTTGAAATAGATCTATACTAGTCTCCCTTTATTTCTTTATCGGCAAATACAAATTTGGTATAAAATGGTTTGTCATGAATGCGACTGCTTGAGGCCTTCTGGATTGGAGCTGAAAGGTGAAAAGGGAAGCAGTATGCTCCCCTCCCATATTGGGGCAGACCAGGTGTTTCGATAGAAAAACACTTTATATATATATATCTGTAATGGTAGTTTAATACTCTGACGATGTCAGCAGATGGCTGACGAAAGCTTAGTAAAATAAAATTTTAATTTTTAAAAAAAATTTAAATTTTAAGTACCGGAGTTCGCAGTATGTCTGCTTCTTTTTTTACTAATATACCTGGAACTCGTATTTTTAGAATAGTTTGTAAGATAGATAGATAGATAGATAGATGATAGATAAATATTACAATCTATTCATATATAGATATGTGAAGTTTTTGCGGGTGTGTATATGCAAAAAATTAAAATCTCGGGTGTTTTCCCGCGTCATGTTAAATAAGTTAAGTTAGTTAAAATGTTTAAAACTTCTGGTTAAAATCCTAGCTTAAAATCTTCCAAATATATTTGTAATATATGTAATATATTTATATTTTCTGTAAGCTGCCTAAGAGTTGCCATGAGCCAGTAAGCAGCTATCTACATTTTCCTAAAATACAGCAAGTCCTTGACTTCCAACAGTCCGTTTAGTGACCGTTCCAAGTTACAAACAGCACTGAAAAAAAAAACGTGCCTTAGGATCGTTTTTCACACTTAACAACTTTTGCAGCCCTCCCCATAGTCACGTCATCAAAATTCAGACACTGGCCAACTGGTTCGTCTTTATGACCGTTGCTGTGTCCCAGGGTGATCCCCTTTTGTGGCCGTCCAACAAGCAAAGAGGAAGCCAGCTTCACTTAACCACCATCTGACTAACTGGAAGAACCGCAGTGATTCACTTAACAACGGTAGCAAGAAAAATGGGGCAAAACTGAGTTAAGACACGCGTCACCTTTAAACCACAGAAATTTTGGGCTCCATCGTGGTCATAAGTCGAGGACTAGCTATAAATACACTATAAATACAGGCAGTCCTCGACTTACAACAGCTCATTTAGTGACTGTTCAATGTTCGAACGATTAATGAGAAATGTGAGTTGCCACTGACTTTCACAGTTACGACCACTCCGCCGCTTGGCAATTGACTCATACTTATGACGGTTGCAGTGTCCCGGATGTCACATGATCCAGATTTCCACTTCACACAAGCGGGTTACTAAGAGAAGCAATTGTGATTCCCTGAATGACGGTGGCAAGAAAACGGCAGACTTCACTGAAGACACCCATCCAGGGATGGGTTCCACTTCCCTTCACTACCGGTTTGCAACGGGCGCGTGGTGGGCGGAGCCTCCCACTGCCGTTCCTACAGGTTTGCATGAACCGGACTGAACTGGTAGCAACTCACCCACCACTGCACCCATCTCCCTGAACCCCAGAAACCTTGGCCTCAATCGGGGGTCGTAAGTCAAGGACCCCCTGTAAATAAATGAGACGTGATTTACGACGGACTTTCACAGTTAACGGCAAGAAAAACAGGGCGCACCTCACCTGAGACCAGCCATCTCCCTCAACCCCAAAAAACCTTGGCCTCAATTGGGAGTCGTAAGTCAAGGACCCCCTGTAAATAACGAGGAATGTGGCTTACGATGGACTTTCACACACTTAACGACAAGAAAAACAGGGCAGACCTCACCCGAGACCCGTGTCTTCCCTGAACCCCAGAAACTTTGGGCTCAATCGGGGAGGGGGGAAGTGTCGTAAAACAAGGACTAGCCCTGTCCACCAATGTTAAGACCCCATTGAGGCGGCTCCGCGGCAAAAACACCGAGCTCGTGCATCCAAAAGGTCGGCACTTCGGCGGTTCAAATCCCTAGTACTGAGTGAGCAGGGGGGTTGGGGTTGGACTAGATGACCTCCAAGGTCCCTTCAAACTTACACACATACCCTGGGAGTTCAAAGCCCCGAGGAGAGGATTCCCTCCAGGAAGCGAAGCTCCTTGCCAAGGAGGCTCAGTGGCTAAGACACTGAGCTTGTCGATCAGAAAGGTCGGCAGTTCGGCGGTTCGAATCCCTAGTACAGGGGAGAAGGGGGGTTGGGCTAGATGACCTCCCAAGGTCCCCCCCAACTCTGTTACAGTTCGGCGGTTCTAATCCCTAGTACAGGGGAGAAGGGGGTTGGGCTAGATGACCTCCCAAGGTCCCCCCCAACTCTGTTACAGTTCGGCAGTTCTAATCCCTAGTACAGGGGAGCAGGGGGGTCGGACTAGGTGACCTCCCGAGGTCCCTTCCAACTCTGTTGCTGTTACAGTTCAGCAGTTCGAATCCCTAGCACAGGGGAGCAGGGGGTTGGGCTAGATGACCTCCCGAGGTCCCTTCCAACTCTGTTGCTGTTACAGTTCGGTGGTTCAAATCCCTAGTACAGGAGAGCAGCGGGGTCGGACTAGATGACCTCCCAAGGTCCCTTCCCACTCTGTTACAGTTCGGCGGTTCGAATCCCTAGTACAGGTCTCCTGCCTGAGCAGGGGGTCGGACTAGATGACCTCCGGAGGTCCCTTCCCACTCTGTTACTGTTACAGTTCGGCGGTTCGAATCCCTAGTACAGGGGAGCAGCGGGGTTGGGCTAGATGACCTCCCGAGGTCCCTTCCTACCCTTCTCTTAAAGGAGAGAAAAGGATCTGGGATCGCCGCGAGCGGCCAACGCCTCGCGGAAGTCGATCGCTGGGGCCGTTCCGCGGAGATCCCGCTCCTCGGCCGCCTCCAGTCCGGGCATCTCCGGAGAGCTTGGGACCCTCCTCTCGCAGGTCAGCCCAGCCCGGGGGTCTCCCTCTCTCTCTCTCTCTCTCTCTCTCTCGGGGTCTTTTCTAACCGGGATCCCCCCCCAACAACCCAACCCAACCCAACCCAACCCAACCCAACCCAGCTCAACTCAACTCAACTCAACTCAACTCAACCCAACCCAACCCAACCCAACCCAACCCAACCCAACCTCCTTCCCTCCGCTGGTGTCTTCCCGGGGCAAAGCTCCGGGGGAAGATGCGCTGCGGGGCCGCTGGGATGCTCCGAGGCTCCGGGTCCCCCTTCTGAGACTGGGCCGGAAGAGGAAGGCGCTTCCCCGGCCTTGGGAGTGGAGTGGAGGCGGGCAAGCAGGCGGGGGAAGCCGGGCTGGAGGTGGGCTGAGCCCCCGGAGGAAGGAACCGGGGCGCATCGCGGAGCTTCTCCTCCAAGCGGGGCTGGTCGGGCTCTCCGCCTGCGGGAGCGGAGGTGAGCTCTCCTGGGTGGGATATTAGAGGGGGGTGGGGGGCGTCAGCATCTTCCCCCGCCCACCCCCAGGCTCTCTTCCCGCTCCGGAGGGGGATTTCCGGGTGGTCTCCCATTCCATTCCATCCCGGCCCCTCTCAAGGGGAGGAGGCTGGGAGGGGGATTGGGGAGGGGGGAGAGAAGGGGAGGAGGCTGGGAGGGGGAGGGGGGAGAGAAGGGGAGGGGGAGAGAAGGGGAGGGGGATTGGGGAGGGGGCAGAGAAGGGGAGGAGGCTGGGAGGGGGGGAAGGAGAAGGGGTGGCAAGGAGAGGAGAGAGGGAGGGGGATTGGGGAGAGGGGAGGAGAAGGGGGTGGCAAGGGGAGGAGGGAGGGAGGAGGGAGGGAAAGAGGAGGGGGTAGGAATGAAGGACCCCATCCCCGACCCGTTTTCATCCAGCTTGCCCAGGAGCCTGGGGAGGGGTTAGGGTCTCCCAACCATCCTGATCCCTCTTGGCACGGCCTGTTTCCCGCAGGAGGAGGGAAAGGGGAGGCATCTAGCAGGGATTGGGATGAGGTAGGGTGGGACGGGGAGGGGGTGCAAAGCGAGAAGGCTTGGGGGGAAAGAGGGGCAGGAATGAAAGACCCCCGACCCAGTTTTTTTTCATCCAGTCTGCCCCTGGAGCCTCTGTGTTTGGGGGGGGGGTGTCTCCCAGTCTCCCAGCCCTTCTAGGTCCATAGAAGGAAAGGAGCAGGGATTGGGGGTGGGGTGGAAAGGGGGTGCAATTGAGATGGCTTGGGGGGGAGAGGGAGAGAGGGAGGGAGGGGTACAGGAATGAAGCCCCCACCCATTCCATTTTTCATCCAGCCAGCTCAGTAGCCCCTAGCTTTGAAGGGAGATGGAGAGGCTGCCTTGTGCTTGGGAAGCGGAGAGGGGTGGGTGGAGTCTCCGGGCTGGCAGAGACCCCTGGCGTGGGGTGGTGGGGCACCCAACGGTGCCCGCCACCTTATCTTTCCTTGGGGAAATTTAAAATTGCTACTCCGCTTCTGGGTACTCTCTGGAGCATGTCTTGAGTTCCTGTTTCACCTACTGTAACTGTAAGGCTGCTAAGGAGCCTTGGTGGCGCAGCAGACTAAAGCGCTGTTAAGTAGCACCAGCTGCCTGCAATTACTGCAAGTTCAAACCTCACCAGGCTCAAGGTTGACTCAGCCTTCCATCCTTCCGAGGTAGGTAAAACGAGGACCCGGATTGTGGGGGCAATAAGCTGACTTTGTATAAAAAAGAACACCGCTTAGGGGGGGGGGGCGAAAGCCCTACTAAGCAGGTATATACAAAAGTATGAAGGCTATTGCTTAACGCATTGTAAGCCACCTTGAGTCTCCGGAGAAGGGGCAGCATATAAATCGAACCAATAAAATATAAATAAATAAATAAATTTACACACACACAGACACACGTAGTCCTCGATTTACAACTTGGAAAAAAGCAACTTGGGACCGTTTCTCACCCTTATGACCGCCGCGGCATCCCTGTGGCCACGTCATCAAAAATAATCCTGACGCTTGGCCTCAAATTCTAATTTCTCTAGTTTTTACTCCTATTTATTCTCTTTTATTTTTTTTAATCATTCATTCTTTACCCTAGTGCATTTATACATGTTCGGGGTTGCCTTTCTTCCCTTTCATCTTTTTTTTATTGTACAGAGAAATTAGAATTGGAGGGCGAAGGAAGATGTCGTTTATACAAATGAGCGTAGAAATTTTAAGATACGATCAAAAAAAATGGAAAAAGAAGATTTCGGCAAAAATTGTAACTGAGTAAAAATGTATTTGAATAAGATAAATTGTATAAGTTATGATACTCTGTTCATAAAATACACAGGCGAATGTGGGGGGGGGTGTTAAAAAATCAATAAAACTTGATTAAAAAAATAATTATCCTGACGCTTAGCCGATTCACATTTATGACGGTTGCAGCGTCCCCGGGGGATCCTCCTTCGCGACCTTGTGATAAGCAAAATCAAAAACGGGGAAAAACCAGTTTCACTTAACCGTGCTACTAACTTCACAACGGCAGCACTTCACTTAATGAAGGGCAGCCAGCAAGGTCACCAAAAAAAAAAAAAAAACGGGGCGGAATTCACTTAACGAATTGTCTCACTTAGCAACAGAAATCTGGGGCTTGGTTGCGGTCGTAAATCGAGGGCTACCTGTAAAAACTTAGCAGCTCAGGCTAAGAATCTCTGCTCAGTTCCAGCTTTGTTTCTTCCCCGCCCACTCTTGTCCGACTTGTGTGAACTGGGGGACTAAATTAATTAATTAATTAATTAATTAATTAGTCATATTTCTATGCCGCCCACTCGCCGAGGACTCTGGGCGGCTTACAACAATCGACAGTATACTAAAGAGCATATTGCCCCCCAACAATCTGGGTCCTCATTTTACCCACCTCGGAAGGACGGAAGGCTGAGTCAACCTTGAGCCGGTGAGATTTGATCCGCTGATCTGCTGAACTAGCAGTCAGCTGAAGTAGCTGCAGTACTGCACTCTAACCACTGCGCCACCTTGGCTCGTAAATCCAGACCCCACGATGCCCCTCATTGTATTTCAGGGCTCTCCAACCTTCTCAGCGATAAGACCTGAGGACTTCAACTCCCAGAATCCCCCAGCCGGAGTGGTGATTTGGAGACCATCGTGAACGAAAGGATCTTCATCCAGAAAATGTCCCGCGAGGACCAAGGCGTCGCGAAGGCCGAGGAAAACTCCTCCCGCGTCATTTTCGCGGTGTTTCTCTCGCTGCTCATCGACCTCCTGGGCTTCACCCTGATTCTGCCTCTCCTGCCTTCCATCCTAGATCATTTCAGCCAGAATGACGTGAGTAAAACAAAAACAAAAACGAAGCCGCGTTCAAAAATCCAAACATTTTTGCCCTTGTTAAAACATGCGAGGACAAGCAGGGACGGCGTCCGTGAGAATTGAAATTACTTTACTCTGGTTTGCTTTTTCATCGTTGCACCTCGCACAACGGAATTAAGTGCCATCTAATTTCAGGGTATGATATACATGAAAAAGAAAATAAAAATAGAACAAAAACACACCTCCCTCGCGTCCTATTTATTTATTTATTTAATTTATTTATTTGTCAAGTACGTACCCTGTTTCCCCCCAAATAAGACCTCCCCTGATAATAAGCCCAATCGGGTTTTTGAGGGCATGGCAATAAGGCAAACAAGCCCTTATTTCAGGGTTCAAAAAAATATATGACAGGGTCTTATATTAGGGAAAAAACGGTAGATACAGATGATAGATAAATAGTAAGACGGATAGATAGATAGATAGATAGATAGATAGATAGATAGATAGATGATAGATAGAGATATAGAGATAAATAGATAAATAGAGAGATTAGATAGAGAAAGAAAGAAAGAAAGAAAGAAAGAGAAAGAAAGAAATAGATAGGGATTGATAGATAGAAAGATAGATATAGAGATAAATAGAGATAGATCAGAGAGAGAGAGAAAGATAGATAGATAGATAGATAGATATAAATAGATTAGATAAAGAAAGAAAGAGATAGATAGATAGATAGAAAGATAGATATAGAGATAAATAGAGATAGATTAGAGAGAGAAAGATAGATAGATAGATGATAGAGATAGATATAAATAGATACATAGATAAATAGAGAGATTAGATAGAGAAAGAAAGAAAGAAAGAGAGAGAGAGAGAGAGAGAGAGAGAGAGAGAGAGAGAGAGAGAGATAGACATAGACAGATACCCTGTTTCCCCCAAAATAAGACATCTCCTGATAATAAGCCCAATGGGGCATTTGAGTGCATGGCAATAAGGCCAAGCGCTTATTTCAGGGTTCAAAAAAATATAAGACAGGGTCTTATTTTCGGGGAAACACGATAGATACAGATGATAGATAAATAGTAAGACGGAGAGAGAGAGAGAGAGGGAGGAAGGAAAGAAGGAAGGAAGGATGGATAGATAGACAGATAGACAGATAGACAGACATAGACAGATACCCTGTTTCCCCCAAAATAAGAATTTCCCCCAAAATTCCCCCAAAATATCCCCTGATAATCAGCCCAATCGGGCTTTTGAGAGCATGGCAATAAGGCCAAGCACTTATTTCAGGGTTCAAAAAAATATAAGACATGATTTTATTTTCGGGGAAACACAGGTATTAGATAATATATATAAGTATAAGCATGAATTGAATACATAAAATAGATACAAATAGAGGAAAAATTAGGACAGATTCAATAGGCACACTGGTACGCTTATGCACCCCCCTTACAGACCTCTTAGGAAGGGGGTGAGGTCAACAGTAGACAGTCTAAGGTTAAAATTTGGGGGGTTTTAGGATGAAACCACAGAGTCAGGTAGTGCATTCCAGGCATTGACCACTCTGTTGCTGAAGTCCTATTTCCTGCAATCGAGTTTAGAGCGGTTCACCTTGAGTTTGTATCTATTGTGTGCTCTTGCATTGTTGTGGTTGAAGCTGAAGTAGACATTGACAGGTAGGACGTTGTAGCAGATGATTATATGAGCTACGCTTAGGTCATACCGAAGGCGGCGTAGTTCTAAATTTTCTAAGCCCAGAATTTCAAATCTGGTGGCATAAGGTATTTTGTGTCGAGCAGAGGAGTGGAGGACTCTTCTTGTGAAATATTTCTGGACTCGCTCAACTGTATTAATGTCCAATATGCAGTGCGGGTTCCAGACAGATGAGCTGTATTCGAGAATTGGTCTAGCAAAGGTTGTGTATGCTCTGGTTAGTAGTGTGATATTACCGGAGAAGAAGCTACGCAAGATTAGGTTAACAACTCTTCATGCCTTTTTGGCGATGTTGTTACAGTGGGCTTTGGTACTTAGATCATTAGAGATGAGTACTCCAAGGTCCTTGACAGAGTGAGGGTCATCTACAAAGTCATGTCCACTTAGCTTGTATTTTGCATTCTGGTTGTTTTTGCCAATGTGTAAGACGAGTATTTTTTGGTTGAGATTTGGAGTTGCCAATTGTTTGACCCTTCCAAACTGAATTGAATTGAAGTTAGTTTACTTTATGGTCGTTGCACCTCGCACAACGAAGTTAGGTGCCATCTTCAGTGTACATTATACATTAAAAAGAAAATAAAAAATAAAAACACAGCTCCCTCACATTCTATAGCAGGAGTCAGCAACCTGCAGCTCTGGAGCCGCATGTGGCTCTTTCACCCCTCTACTGTGGCTCCCCGTCACTCAAAATATGCATCACAACTGCCAATGTGCGACATTCGCTGGCATGTGATTTATTGTGTTTTTCAACCCTCTGGCAGGCCAACCATGGATAAATCCAAGAAATGAAAAGTTTCAGAAGAAAACAGAACGTTTAATTCAACTACATAGGCTAGTTTTGTGGCTGCGCAAAAAATAGTCAGGGACGGGAAGGGTTTTGTGGCTCCCGGTGTTTTCTTTTCTGCGGGAAACGGGTCCAAAGGGCTCTTTGAGTTTTTAAAGTTGCAGACCCCTGTTCTATACAATTGTATTGAAAACCCCTGATATTGCATTAATATCGCACTTTATTATACAGCGGAATTCAATATAGTTACTGCTTTGCTCCAGGCTTCGCAGCACCTTGTTCATCGTTTTATCAGTTTCCCAAAACATAAAATACGAAAATACAAAGACAGATGAAAGTAAGGGCAAAATAGCAGAGGAAGGGGAAGAGGAGGAAAAATGTAAAGAGGAAACAAACCCAGTATTGCCTTCTTTCACGAGACACCTCTCCTCCCACGAGGACACTACGACCGTCACAAATATGAATCCGTTTCCAAGCGACTGAATTCCGATCACGTGACCCTGGGGAATGCTGCAACGGTCGTTAAGTAGGAAAAACGGCCATTATTCACTTTTTCGTCACTTGTCAACAATCACTAAATGAACTGCCGTAAGAGGAACCGGATTCAGCCGGTTTGCAGTATTTCTGCAACCGGCTGAATGTTCTTGCCATGTTTTTTTTAACTGTGTGTGTTTTTTTGCCTTGGTCTTTTCTTTTCTTTTTTCTTTTCGTTTCGTTTCTTTTCTTTTCTTTTTTTTTCTTTTTTTAACATTTTATTTTGCCACTTCATCTAAGCAGTGGGCAGGAGCAGGAATGATGGGCACGGGGTTTCCTAATCGTGAAACTTAAAATAAGGAAGTATCCCAACGGCTGAAACGGTGAAGCTGAACGCTGGAGTGCGATACTCTTCCCTCATCTTAGAAAGGAAGTGTCAGGACACATGCCAGACCGAAACGAGAAAGCCACACCTTGCAACATGGCTATTGTTTGCAGACTGTGCAACGAACACCTCAAGGTTGTAAGGCCACTCCAGCAACCCCTTCCTGGAAAAACACACATGGAAAGATCTTTTAAAGTTGTGAAGAATTTTGTGAGAAGGGACGAAGGAAAAAAAAAAGAGAGAGAGAGAGAGAGAGAGAGAGAGAGAGAAGAAATCAAGTTTAGGGCCTTTATTTCAGAAGATTAAAAGTAAATAGAATACATTTTATGCATTCAATTCATGCTTATATATATTATCTAATATGTAGTCGACAAATAAATTAAAAAAAATAGAAATAAAAGGAAATTAATAGTCATTAATAGTCAATTGGCCAAGTGTGATTTGGACACACGAGGATTTTTTCTTGGTGCATACGCTCTCTGTGTACATAAAAGACAAGATACGTTCGTCAAGAATCATAAGGTACAACACTTAATGATAGTCATAGAGTACAAATAAGCAATCAGGAAACAATATCAATATAAATTGTAAGGATACAAGCAACAAAATTACAGTCATACAGTCATAAGTGGGAGGAGATGGGTAGTGGGAACGATGAGAAGATGAATAGTAATGCAGACTTAGTGAATAATTTGACAGTTTTGAGGGAATTATTTGTTTAGCAGAGTGATCGGGAAAAAAATGTCCTTGTGTCTAGTTGTTCTGGTGTGCAGTGCTCTATAGTGTCGTTTTGAGGGTGGGAGTTGAAAGAGTTTATGTCCAGGATGCGAGGAGTCTGTAGATATTTTCACAGCCCTCTTTTTGACTCGTGCAGTAGACAAGTCCTCCATGGAAGGCAGGTTGGTAGCCATGGTTTTCTCTGCAGTTCTAATTATCCTCTGCAGTCTCTTGTCTGTCTTGTTGGGTTGCAGAACCAAACCAGACAGTTCTAGAGGTGCAGATGACAGACTCAATGATTCCTCTGTAGAACTGTTATCAGCAGCTCCTTGGGCAGTTTGAGTTTTCTGAGTTGGCGCAGAAAGAACATTCTTTGTTGTGCCTTTTTGATGATGTTTTTGACGTTAGCTGTCCATTTTAGATCTTGCGATACGGTAGAACCTAGAAATTTGAAGGTCTCTACTGAAAGAATATAAAAAAGACAACCATTTCAGATTAAAAGTAACATAAGCGGAAGGAATGTAAAGTTGACTTATTTGACCACGGCTAAAATAGATGCGTTGTTCTCTCCGGTAACCCTTCCGGATTTTTGCTGACATCAGGGACTTAAGGATGAAGCTTTGAAGCTTTGTTCATAGATAAGAGATGAAAGATGAGAAGGTTATTTGATTGGGGGAGGGAGGAGAAGACTGTGATACAGACGATGCACTTGGCAGGATGGATGTTTGAAATGATGTTTTTTAGGGGAGGAAAAGATGCTTCTGGGATCAGGAAAACGACAGAACAGCGCGTTTCCCATCTTGGCAGGATGATTCAATCGATCGATCGATCGATATCCCACCTTTTTCCAAAAACAATTCAAATATATCCAACACATCTTCCTCCTCCTATTTCCCCCCCCCCCCAAACAACAACCCTGTGAAGTCAGGACTAGAACTCAATTCAGAATAGAGCTGGAAGGGAACCTTGGAGGACTTCTAGTCCAACCCCCTGCCCAAGCAGGAGACCCTATACCGGTGATGGCTAACCTTTTTGCCGTTGCATGCCAAAAGCGGGAAGAACATGGGGGGGCGGGTCGCGCTCGTGCGTGCCCACACCCATAATTCAATGTGCCCCGTCCCCCCACATGCACATGCGACCCACCCTCGCTTTTGGCATGCGATGGCATGGTGGGCCCGGTAGGCCCATTTTTTGCCCTCCCCAGGCTCCAGAGGCTTGCTAGGAGCCTGGGGAGGGCTAAAACAGCCTTCCCCCCCCCCCCCAGAGGCCCTCTAGAGGCCGGAAACAGCCCATTTTCTGACTTCCGGTGGGCCCGGAAAATCAGTTGGCTGACGCGCGCATGCTAGTTCTAGGTTGCTTCTCTCCTTGATTAGTTTCCATCCCTTGTTTCTTGTCCTGCCTTCTAGTGTTTTGGAGAATAAATTGATCCCTTCCTCTTTGGGGCAGCCCCTCAAATGCCGTAAATAGCAAAATAATTCCGGCAGAAAGAAATGGGGCTGGAGATGGCTCCCCTAACCCCTCCCCCTTGCCCAATCCCTTTCTTTCTTCCCCAGGATGGGCTCTACAGGAGGGTGCAAGCCGGCGTGGACTGGTTCAGTGGCAGCCTTGGCATTCCGCCAGAAAGGAAGTACAACAGCGTCTTATTTGGAGGTAGGAAATTCCCTTCATTGCCTTAGTTGGCGCCTGGTCTGAAGGTCATTCACCCTCTGCCTGAAGGGCATTTGGGGTCTCTGGCCAGGCTGGTGGTCAATCCTGGTGCCCAGAGAAATGGGGATGTTGCAAGACACGGAGGGAGGAACTCAGGGGTGAAATCCAGCAGGTTCTGACAGGTTCTGGAGAACCGGGAGCGGACATTTTAAGCAGTTCAGAGAACCGACAAATACCACCTCTGGCTGGCTCCAGAGTGGGGTGGGAGTGGAGATTTTGCAGTATCCTTCCCCTGGAGTCGGGAGGGAATGGGGATTTTGCAGTATCCTTCCCCTGGAGTGGGGAGGGAATGGGGATTTTGCAGTATCCTTCCCCTGGAGTGGGGAGGGAATGGGGATTTTGCAGTATCCTTCCCCCAGGAGTGGGGAGGGAATGGGGATTTTGCAGTATCCTTCCCCTGGAGTGGGGTGGGAATGGAGATTTTCCATTATCCTTCCCCCAGGAGTGGGGAGGGAATGGGGATTTTGCAGTATCCTTCCCCTGGAGTGGGGTGGGAATGAGGATTTTGCAGTATCCTTCCCCCAGGAGTGGGGAGGGAATGGAGATTTTGTAATACCCTTGCCCCAGGAGTGGGGAGGGAATGGGGATTTTGCAGTGTCCTTCCCCCAGGAGTGGGGTGGGAATGAGGATTTTGCAGTATCCTTTCCCTGCCATGCCCACCAAGCCACACCCACACAACCGGTAGTAAAAAAAAAATTGGATTTCACCACTGAAGGAAGCCACAGCATGGAACGGGACAATTCGCCATGACCAACTCACCGTGGGAGAAATTCAACGCTTCAATTTAATTTATTTAAAAGAATTAAAACTTCATTTCGCTTTTTGTCATTCATCTTTCATCTTGGCCCTCCTTTCCCCTCCTTCCTTGAAGGATTCTATTCCACCATTTCTTCGGTATTAGTGTAACTCTCGTCCTGTGGCATGTTCTCTTATGGTGAGTTGGCCACGGCAAGTTGGACGTGCGTTCCCCTTTGACCCTTTTTTTAGAAGCACGGCTTTCGAGTAGGGGTGTCCAACCTCGGCAACTCGGACCTCGGTCCAAGACCGGTGGACTTCAACTCCCAGAATCCCCCAGCAAATTCTCCCAGTGGAATTCTGGGAGTTGAAGTCCACCGTTCTTAAAGAGGTTGGACACTCCTGCTTTAAATACTTTACTTAGCGGTGGGAAAAAAAGAGAGGTAAACTAAGTTGAGGTCAGCGGGAGGAAGACGACTTGCAACCCACGGAACCGTCCCGCCTCCAATCTTCTCTTCCAGGTCTCATCGGCTCCCTGTTTTCTCTGCTTCAGTTTCTGGCCTCGCCACTCACCGGGGCTGCCTCAGATTCCTTCGGGAGGCGACCGGCGCTGCTCGTCACTGCGGTAGGTTGGTTTCAATCAGAGAGGAGGCAATAGCCTCTTAAGCAATAGCACTTAAGACTTATATCCCACTTCACAGTGTTTTACAGCGCTCTCTAAGCGGTTTACAGAGTCAGCCTCTTACCCCGCCCAACAATCTGGGTCTTTATTTTACCAACCTCGGAAGGATGGAAGGCGGAGTCAACCTTGAGCCGGTCAGGATCGAACTCCAGAAAGTGGGCAGAATTACCCGGCAATATTGCATGCTAAGCACTGTGCCACCAAAGAAAGGAAGGAAGGAAGGAAGGAAGGAAGGAAGGAGGGAGGGAGGGAGGGAGGGAGGGAAGGAAGGAAGGAGGGAGGGAGGGAGGGGGGGAGGGAAGGAAGGAAGGAAGGAAGGAAGGAAGGAAGGAAGGAAGGAAGGAAGGAAGGAAGGAAGGAAGGAAGGAAGGAAGGAAGATCCCACTTCACAGTGCTTTCCAGCCCTCTCTAAGAGTTTAGAGAGTCAGCCTCTGGACCCCAACAATCTGAGTCCTCATTTTACTGACTTTGGAAGGACAGAACAGCTGGGTCCAGTGTCTGACGCATGGATGCACAGAAGGCAGAGGAGAGGAGAGCAATGGAAATCTATGGGCCGGTCCTCGGGACGGAAAAGCCACCAATGCTAGTGAAGCCCCACCCTAGCTGTGGGGATCAAAGGCAGGTGGCGGAGATGAATAGGTGTAGCAGAGAACTATTCATCTTCTGGCCGAACGGACTTGTTAGCTTGCGGAGAGAGAGAAACTTTTTGCTGGGGCTGCTAGATCATTACTTCAACTGCAGAGGGTTTGTCGGGTTTGGGGAGCTGGGTCAGAACATGTAGTAACTTTGGTCACTAAACAAGCTGTTGTAAGTCGAGGACTCGCCGTACCTATCTGAGCCGTTCCCTCCGAGTGGAACAAACCAAGATGTCAGCGTTTCGCTGGCATAGAGAGCAGAGAGAGAGAGAGAGAGAGAGTGATAAGCTCTGAACTTCTGCCTGCTAAATCCCTTTGATGTCCGATTGTCGTGGAAATGAGGAGGGGGGAGACATTCCTGGGAAATGACGGGACAAGAAGTCTGAAGAATGACTTGGAAGATAGCCAATGAAAAGCAGATATTTGGGGATCGGAAAGGGAGGGAATGGGGGGCAAAAGGTCAGTCTTGTCCGCATCGAGTCATGATCCGGTGGCTGTGCTCAATTTAAGAAAAGATTTCCTTAAAGATTGGCAGTTTGGAAATTCATTTATTTTGAGATAGCATCGAAGTCTGACGCAAGAAGCTGCCCCAACATCAGCAAACTCTTGTCTGAGAATGCCAAAATCTCTTTTTTTTTCTCCCCCCTTCCAGCTTGGCTTGATGGCGTCCTATTCTCTGTGGGCCATTTCTAGGAGTTTTGAACTCTTCCTTTGCTCCAGAATCCTTGGCGGGATCAGCAAAGGGAACGTCAGCCTTTGCACGGCCGTCATCGCAGATCTTCAATGTCCGAAAGCTCGAAGCAAAGGCATGGTGAGTCCTTCTTATTTTTAAGAGAATAACAGAGCAGGAAGGGACCTCGGAGGTCTTCTAGTCCAACCCCCTCCTCAGGCAGGAAATATACCATTTCAGAAACAAATCACATTGGGTTAGTCCTCCTTCTCGGATGCTAGCTTAGTAAGGACAAAGAATTAGCGTCTCAACAATCTATCGGTAGTCCTCGACGAACGACCGCCATTGAGCCCCAAAGTTTCTGTTGCTAAGTGAGTCATTTGTTAAAGTGAGTTTCGCCCCGTTGTACGACCACAGTTGTTAACAGAATTGCTTCTGGTTGTTAGGTAAATCTGGCTTCCCCATTGACATCACTCATCAAAAGGTCGCAGGAGGGGATCATGTGATCCTCTCGGAAGGTTGCAACCGGCATATATATGAGTCAGTCACCGGGGCGGGGGGGTGTCTGAATTTTGATCACATGACCCTGGGGCTGCTGCAACGGTCATAAGTCCGTTATGACTTTCCTTGCCACGGTTGTGAAGTTGAATCACTGCAGTTCTGGTTTTCTCGTCTTGGCTCTAGTTGTTTCGGCTTGCGGTGCCCTGTAGCGCCACCTTGAGGGAAGACGTTGAAACTGTTTGTGTCCAGGATCTAGTGCAGGGCTCTGCAACCTTAAACACTCAAAGAACCATTTGGACTCATTTCCCACAGAAAAGAAAACACCGGGAGCCACAAAAACCCTTCCCGTGCCTGACTATTTCTTGAGCGGCCACAAAACTAGCATATGTAGTTGAATTAAATGTTCTGTTTTCTTCTGAAACTTTTCTTTTCTTGGATTTATCCATGGTTGGCCTACCGGGGGTTGAAAAGCTCAATAAATCGTGTGCCAGCGGGTGTCGCACATTGGCGGCTGTGACGCATATTTTGACCGACAGGGAGCCGCAGCAGCAGGGTGAAAGAGCCACATGCGGCTCCAGAGCCGTAGGTTGCTGACCCCTGATCTAATGCATTATCAATAACTATTAATAATTATCATATAATTAATAAAGTATAACATTAATTATATTGTATTATATTAATGTAATTAATGCAATAAATTATAACTAATAATTATAATTATTATTATTGCATTAATTATATTATTAATATTATTAATTATAATTTAATAATAAATAATTATCTAGTGCAAGATTAATAATGCTGTGGATCGGGGGGGGGGCCTTACTGTATGTGACTCAAAGAAATAAATTTCTTTGATATATAACATTATATATAACATGATGTATAACATTAATTATATTGTATTATATTAATGTAATTAATGCAATATAATTATAACTAATAATTATAATTAGTTATATATTACATTAATTATATATTATATATATAATATATATAATATAATATATATAATATAATATAATAATTATATATTATATTATTAATAATTAATAATATCTAGTGCAAGATTAATAATGCTGTGGATAGGTGGAGGGGCTTACTGTATGTGACTCAAAGAAATAAATTTCTTTGATATGTAACATATATATAACATGATGTATAACATTAATTATATTGTATTTATATTAATGTAATTAATGCAATATAATTATAACTAATAATTATAATTAGTTATATATTACATTAATTATATTATTAATATAATATAATATAATATAATATATAATATAATATAATATAATATAATTATAATATATTATTATTATTATTTAATTATTTAATTATTAATAATTATCTAGTGCAAGATTAATAATGCTGTGGATCGGTGGAGGGCCTTACTCTATGTGACTCAAAGAAATAAATTTGTGCCCACATTTTTTTTAAAAAAGCATTGCTTTTGTGTACCTGAAAATACTTATGAACAACGGGGGTACTCAGGAGAAATCAGGTGAGGGATCAGGGGTGGGTTCTATTTACCTTTACTACCAGTTCGCAACGGGGCCCCGCAAGCGTGTGCTCGCTTCGCTCGTGCATGCACGCTTCTGCGGAGAAGCTTCCTGATGTCAGGATCGGTGGGCGGAGCCTCCCACCGGTTTTACTACCGGTTCTTGCGAACCGGTCTGAACGGGGGCCACCTACCACCGTGAGGGATTTTGGCCAGTTGCTCTGTTGTTCTGGAGCTTGTTTGAAGTAGGCATGTTAGCTAAAGGACGTTTTGTTCCTTCCAGGCCATGATTGGGCTAGCTTTCTCGCTGGGCTTCACCCTCGGACCAATGCTAGGCGCCTTCCTCGCTCTCGAGACGGAGAAGGACCAAGTCTTCTACACGAGAGCCGCCATCTTTGCCACCATCTTCGCCGCGGCTGATTTCCTGTTTATCTTCACCTGCTTGCCAGAGACACTGCCGAAGGAAAAAACGGGTAATCATACGTTTGTGAAAAGAATCGGAAAACAAAATAACGGATTTATCCTTCTTTGGACGTCAACCGCTTCCAGAAGGAGGAAGCAGATGGTTGGACTTGCGTGGGACAGATCGGATGGACCGTCTACACCAGGGATCTCCAAACTTGGGAACTTTTTAAGACTTGTGGACTTCAACTCCCGGATGCCATCTGGGAGTTGAAATCCCTAAGTCTTAAATCCCAAAGGTGTTTTTTTTTTTTCTCAAGAGGCAATTGGACTTTGTTTTTTCCTTGAAGACGTTTCGCTTCTCATCCCAAGAAGCTTCTTCAGCTCTGACTGGATGGTGGGGAAATGGGAGGATTATATTCCTTGCAGACAGGGATGGAACATTTGCATTCTTAGGTTATACCAAAGGCGGCGTAGTATAGTTCCTGCATGGGCAGGGGGGTTGGACTGGATGACCTCCAAGGTCCTTCCAACTCTTGTTAATCTGTTCAATCTCTCTTGGAATCTGGGAAGGAATGTCCTCCGTGGAATATTGGATTTCAGTCGGCCTTCAACCTGATCAGCCCTGGGAATTGTTCCGAATTTCTGCAGAATACGTCAGAAAGAATGGAGGATGATTCCAGAGAGGATAGTAAGTCTTTTTTCCGTTTTCTGTCCTGGGTTGAATTAATGACCATGGCGAATTTTTTAAAATGAATAGAATGGAATGGAATAAGAATAAGAATTGGAATACAATACAATACAATACAGGAATAGAAGTAGGAATGAATGAAGGAATAGGGAATAGAATGGAGTGGGAGAATAGGAGAATGGAGTGGATAATGGAATGGAATGGAATGGAATGGGAATGGAATGGAATAGAATAGAATAGAATAGAATAGAATAGACAATACAATACAATACAATACAATATACAATAATAGAATTGGAATTAGAAAATTAGAATAGTTACAGATTAGAATAATAGCATAGAATAGAATTGAATGAATAGAGTAGAGTAGAGTAGAATAGTAGAGTAGAGAGTAGAGTAGAGTAGAGTAGAGTAGGAATAGAAGCTGGAAGGGACCTTGGAGGTCTTCTAGTCCAGCCCCCTGCTCGAGCAGGAGAACCTATACCATCTCAGATAAGTGACTGTCCAGTCTCTCTTCTTAAAAAACCTCCAGTGATGGAGCACCCACAACTTCTGGTGGCAAGTCGTTCCACTGGTTAATTGTCCTTACCGTTAGGATCCATTGGGTTCTTCTTTGGAATGATCCTGCAAACCTCTCCGGGATCTTTTTCCCTTTGCATGGCATTGGGTCCCCAACCAACGAAGGGATTTCGGGTAAAAAAGGAGATAGTGAGATGAGGTTGAGGGAAATCAGCCAGCCATTGAGATAGATCAGCCAAGCCCTCTCACGACCAGATTTAAAGAAATGTGCCAGGATCGAGTCTTTTGGAGTCTCAGCGGGCACTGTAACCCCCTTTAACTTTCTCCGTCTCCCAAGGACTCTTTCCCCCTTGGCTGCCCAGCTGTGCCCCTTTCAAGGAAGGGGCAATTCACCCGATGTTCAACATTCAGATGCTTGGCAACTGACTCGTATTTATGACAGTTACAGTGTCGTGGGATGATCCCCAATTTTCCCAAAATTCTGACAAGCAAAATCCAGGGAGAAACCAGATTCACTTCACCGCCGTGTTACTAACTTCACAACTGGAGCGATAACTTCCCTTAGCGACAGTGGCAAGAAAGGCCGTCAGATGAGGCAGAACTCGCTTAACGAACGTCTCACTCAGCAACATAAATTTTGGGCTCAGTTGTGACGGTAAATTGTATTATGGCTGCAATTCAGGGGTGAAATTCAGCAGGTTCTGACGAACCGGTAGTGGAAATTTTGAGTAGTTCAGAAAACCGGCAAAATACCACCTCTGGCTGGCCCCAGTGGGGTGGGAATGGAGATTTTGCAATATCCTTCCCCCAGGAGTGGGGAGGGAATGGGGATTTTGTGGTATCCTTCCCCCAGGAGTGGGGAGGGAATGGGGATTTTGCAATATCCTTCCCCCAGGAGTGGGGAGGGAATGGAGATTTTGCAGTATCCTTCCCCTAGGAGTGGGGTGGGAATGGAGATTTTGTAATATCCTTCCCCCAGGAGTGGGGTGGGAATGGAGATTTTACAATATCCTTCTCCCAGGAGTGGGGAGGGAATGGGGATTTTGCAGTATCCTTCCCCTGGCGTGGGATAGAAATGGAGATTTTGCAGTATCCTTCCCCTGCCACGCCCACCAAGCCACACCAGGCCCACTAAGTCACACCCACAGAACCGGTAGTAAAAAAATTTGAATTCTACCACTGCCGCTATTGTGTTTCCATGAAATCCCAGAATCGGGTTTGACGCTGGAGAATCTGTCTTGTTTGCAAAAAACAATCATTCAGTAGGACCTATTGACCACAATTGTCAGAATTCCTGACCCTGATCTCACAATTCCACAGCTGAAGCCAATTCCAACCCATCGTTTGCAAAAAAAAAGGTTTTGTTGATGTTTACAAATCAGCCTTGGTCGTTTTATTCCTCCTGCAGGTCTTCAGATGTTGGGCTTGGTGTATTTCCTGTACCTTTTCCTTTTCTCTGGCCTGGAGTACACACTGGGATTTCTTGTCCATCAACACTTCCACTTCAGCAGGTAGTTATCTGGCCTGCAACACTCATCGCCTCAAAACCTTTCGATCAAGGGAGTTTAATTTTATAAAATCAGTCTATTCATTTGTGTTGTGCAGAATAGACTAGACTAGAGAATAAAAATAAAATAGAGACTAGACTAAGCTAGAGTAGACTAGATTAGAATCTATCTATATATATATAAATGGCTGTGTCTGTGTGTATGTATGTTCCAGCATAACTCTGGAACGCCTCGAGCAATTTCAACCAAACTTGGTACACAGATGACTTACTCTCTGGAAAAAAATATTGTGGGGGTAAGACACCCCTCAGGGTGAATATAGCAGCTGTCCCGCCCAGCTGATTGGTCCCGGTGGCCTTCCGCAGCGGCCACGCAACATCTGCTGGGCCATTCCGGATGGAGAGGAGGACCATTGCTGCCAGATGGGTGTTGGCCCAGGTGGTTACTGCGGCGGCCAGCCATGCACAGCCCCAACGCTGCCAGCCATGATAGTGGTTACTGGTGGGCGTGGGCAGCCAGATGAACAGGGGGTGGGGCCGAAAGACTTATAGTGATTTTGTGTATGATTTTATTTTATAATGTGTATACTGTACATATACTTTTAAAAGCCTGTAACGATTGGGATACATAAATACCCGGGCAACACCAGGTTATCAGCTAGTATAAGAATAAAATAGAGGATAGGATAGGATAGGATAGGATAGGATAGGATAGGATAGGATAGACAATAAGCATAGAATAGGGAACAAAACAGAACAATAGAATAGAAATAGAATACAATAGAATACTCCTAGTTCCCATCGTTAAGCGATCGCATGGATCGTTAAGCCAATGGAATCCCTCTTGGAGCCTGCGGAGCTGCAGGGAGGGAGGGATTTTTGAGTTCCTGGCTTGTAGCAACCTCAGAGCTTAAAATCTTTCTCTCTCTCTCTCTCTGCCTCTTCGGGACTCACCTCCACACAGGTGAGAAGGATTTGCTTGGATTTTGGCTGCCAAGGTTGAAACAGTCCCAGAGTTTGAGGTCCTTCTTTCCCTGCCTCTGCAGAGAGCTCCATGGAAGCGGGAAGGACCCCAGCTCTGTGCATGCTTCGATTTTGATTGCCGAAATCCGGGTGGGAAGAGTGGACATTGGAAGTGTCCACCCAAGGCAGGGACAGAAGGGTTTGGGGCTCCACGCCCACTTGGACTCTGGCTGGAGAGATCCAAGCAGGCATGGATTGCAGGGGGCACTTCAGCTTGTCCTCAAAGACGCGAGGGAGTCCTCTTAACAGGCAAAAGCAGTTTTTCCTGCCGGCTTCCCCAGTGACTTTCTGGGGAAGCCATCAAAGACGCTGATCCATAATTGCAACCGGTCGAGAGGCTGTTGTAACTTCAGTCGGTGATTAATCGAGGACTACCTCTGTTCACATTTGTGCTTCCCTAAGTGCGGTGACCTTTCTGGACCTCAACCAGCTGTGTCCATCGGCTGTGACCACAATTTGTGTTTCGGCTCTTTCTTTTTGTGTTTTTCTGTCTTTAGTCTGGAACAAGGGAAGATGTTTTTCTTCATCGGTGTCACCATGGCTGTGATCCAAGGAGGCTACACTCGCCGGATTCCGCCAGGAGCAGAACTGCGGATGGTTAAAATTGTGAGTTTCTTTTTAGCCCCTTCTGTTTTTTCTGCTTCGAGGATGCTCAAAATGAAATATTTTAATTCTGGCGCTAAGTTTTGCGTTCCCTGCTGAGCGTGTACACACACATGCACCCCCCCCAAAAAGGACAAAACCATCCATTGGTGAACGAGTTTGTTTATTGAAAAGATTTGTACAGGCAGTCCTCGACTTACGGCCACAATGGAGCCCGAAATTTCTGTTGCTAAGCGAGACAGTTGCTAAGTGAATTTTGCCCCGTTTTACAACCTTTCTTGCCACCGTTGTTAAGTTAGTAACCCGTGTTGTTCAGTGAATCTGGTTTCCCATGGACTTGGCTTATGGGAAGGTCGCAAAAGGGATCACATGACTCTGGGACGCTCCAACCGTCGTAAATATGAGCCAGTTGTCAAACGTTTCAATTTAGATCATGTGACCGAAGGTTGCAACTGTGAAAAATGGTCATCAGTCACTTTCTTCGGTGTCGTTATAACTTTTGAATGGTCACTAAGTGAGCTTTTGTAAGTGGAGGACACCTATTATCTAAGTTGGGTATCTTAAAGCAGGGGTCCCCAACCTGTGGTCCGTGGCCCACCACCAGGTACTACTAACTTAAGAACTGGGGTGATTCGCTTTAACGACTGTGGCAAGAAAAGCATGACCAATGAAGATTTCTGACTCCTTATTTTAATTTTTCCTGGACAGGCAATCATACTGTCAGCTCCTGGCTTCCTTTTAATCGGCTGGAGCACTAATATTATCATCCTCGGTGCAGGACTGTTGTTTTACTCTTTCGGTAAGTTTCTCGCACAAATCTTGTCAGTGAAAATCAGGAAAAATGTGCTATGCTGAACTCATAGATTTCTTCAAGTTACAATTTCAAGACAATGAAAGGGATGAACACTTCATTGCGTACAAAATTTTCTTTGCGTACAAAATATAGAGGGGATTTTTCCCCCCTTAAAAGTGCTTTTTTTCAAGAGGCAACTGGACTTTCTGGTTTTTCTTTGAAGACGTTTTGCTTCCCATCTAAGAAGCTTCTTCGGCTCTGAGTGGTTGGCGGGGAACAGAAGGATTTATACTCCTTGCAGACAGCTGGTCATTTGCATCATTTTTAGAGAGCCGTTGAGGCTGCTTGGAGGTTTGTCTGTGTCCTCAGGGTCACCTGAGTGGTGCAAATGGGCGTGGAGCCTTCTTGGAACTGCTGAAAGGATTGTGTTGCGGACTCTACACTCATCTGCACTACTACTAGATGGAACTTACTACTAACTTACTACTAACTTTCGGGACCTCAACTTCTGTTGGAGCTTTCCTATTTGTTGGGAATACCAAGAGATTATTGGGGGTTTTCAGGAATCGGTAATCCTAGGAAGGCCCGTTTTGTTAAGCACGACATTTGATCAGAGCTGTCAATAATATTTATTTATTAAAGGAGGACCAAAAAAAAAAAAGAGAGAGAATTATATTGTCAGAAAATGGCCCCTTGCTAGTGTCTACGGCAGTGGTAGCAAACCTTTTAGTCACCGAATGCTGAAAAGGTACGCATTTCGTGTGTGCGCGTGCTATCCGTGCTAATGCGCAGCTCTTACCCTGTGTGCTGCGCAATAGGCAACGCGGTGAACGCATCTACACATGCTCACGCTGCGCACAAATACTCTCATGTGCATGTGCAAACTCGCGCACATGCGCAGGAGAGCTCCAAAGACCAGCTAGGTCCCCTGAATTGCATGCATGCCCGCTGGAGGCCCAAACACCAGTTGGGTGTGCGTGCATGTGCAGCTGCAGGTGACTTGGGCAACAGTTTGCGTGCCTGGAAAGATAGCTCTGCGTTCAACCTCGGGCATGCATGCCATAGGTTCGCCATCCTGGGTCTAGAGAGCTTCTCAGTCGTCCAGGTTGTGGTTGTCCCAAAAGTCCTTTTTCAAAAGGCAACTGGACTTTGTTTTTCCTCGAAGACATTTTGCTTCTCATCGAAGAACCTTCTTCAGAACTGAATGTCTTCTTCAGAACTGAAGAAGCTTCTTTGATGAGAAGCGAAATGTCTTCGAGGAAAACGAAGTCCACTTGCCTTTTGAAAAAGCACTTTTGGGGCATCTCTTGCTGGTGAGGCGGCTGCTTCCATGCTTCAAGGGAAGGTGTCCTCTTGTAAACTCTTTGTACGGCACTAGTAAGAGAAGGAGGTTAATTAGGGAGGAGAACTGCAACTACTTTGGCTTCAACCTTGAGGAAAAATAAGATAGCAGAGTAAAGACATGCTTAAGTGTGCTCCGGGGGTGGTGATGGGCTGCTCTGGCAGGCTTGTGGTAGAGATTGTCCCTTGCAAAGTTGTATGCTCTCCAGTCTAACGGCCCTTGTTTACTTCGCTTGCAGCTGCAGCTGTAGTCGTCCCTTGCTTGTCTACGGTGGTATCCAGCTACGGTAAGCCAACAGCCTTCAGATGTCCCATTTTATGGTCTTCAGATATCCCATTTTTCGGCCTTCAGATACCTCATTTCTGGCTCTGGAGCTGAATTGCATAGCTGCTAAGCTCCGGGTCCTGCATTTACTGGAACCAACGGCCCGTGGTGTAGCCTCTATCCATCTCTTTGCATTTAGGCACTTCAGTAAGCACAAGAGAATAAGGGAGCTACTTAGAGCAGGGGGGTCCCCAATCTCTAGGCTGCAGATTACTGGGCCATGGCCCATTTGGAACTGGGCCACACAAGTGACGGATCGGTGTGCACACACGCACACACACAGAGCTTAACTTGTGGAAGCGGTGGGCTGCTTTCCCTCTCCCTTCCCCTGCCAGGATATCAAGCTGTATAAGTTGGGGACCAGCTCAAGCTGGGAGACCAGCTAATTCATAATCTAAATATTGTTCTGCGTGCAGATTTCGAGAACCGACGTGAATCAGTTTCCTTAAAAGGTGTTTCTGGTCATTGCATTAGCAATTTCACAGCAGTTTTAGAAGCAAATTCAGAGAGCACCAAGGACTCCGACTCCTCCTCCTTTCTGCAAATCCCACCCTCTTCTAGCACTGATGATGTTACCTAGTTTGGGCCATGAAACGTCTGCAGGAAAACAAGCAAGCTCAGAGAGCAGCAAGGACTCCTCATGTCAACCCCGAGCTGCAAATATTCTCCTTTATTAAAATGGCAAAACCTAGTGAGGAAACCACCCTAAAGCTCTTCTCTTTTTCCCTCCAGGGCTGGACAGCCAAAAAGGAACCGTGATGGGCATCCTAAGAAGTCTGGGTGCCCTTGCGAGGGCTCTTGGGCCGGTGGCATCGGCAACAGGTAACTGGCATGGGAGGAAGTGCCTGTCACTCAGAAAGAGGAAGTAGTTGGTGGCGGTTTCCAGAGGTCAAAAGTTATTGGCCAAACGAAGCAGTTCTCCCCATTGTCACACTCCTGATTGGGAATTCGTTGCGGAGTGGTGGTGGTGGTACACTGGTTCTCCTCCTGGGGAAATTTGCTCAAATGTCCTTAAAATTGGCTTTTCGATTGCAGTGTACTGGCTGGCCGGAGCGGAAGTTTGCTTCACCATTTGGGCCTCTTTGTTCCTGCTGCCCTTCATCCTGCTTCGGTGCATGCCAAAGCAAAACAAACAGGAATAGACTACTCGGATGGCGGTTTCCCCCAGAAACTCAAGAATTCAACTTGAATTCAAGAAATCGAGTTGATCCTGGAAGAACTAACCAGGGGCGTTGGTGTATTTTTCACAGCAGCCTTCCACCATCTTTGCCTGTATTTGAGCAGAGGTCCTGCTTTCCAGTCTGGGTCTTTCCATGTGTGTGTGTGCGCACGTGCGTGCGTGTGCCAGGGTCTGAGCAATGATCCATGGAAAAAGGGCCTTAGGATAAAGCTGCCTTCCTACAAATAGGATGGTGAAGATACCAACTTGCTCAATCCGCGATGAACAAAGCCCCCAACAACCCAAGTCCACTTCCTTCCAGCTGGAAACACCTGGGAATTTTCTTGTTCAAAGCGGGACGTTCACACAGATTGGCCCACAAGGTCTTTGCTATGAGGCTGTGAGACCCAAACAATGTCATCTTTCGTGACCTAACTTTGGATTTGGCATCTCTAAGTTTGAGATGAACGTCGTTACTGCCTGTGTCCCATAAGGCTCTCCCCATTTGCCTTCACTTAGATTGGTGCTCTTTCTTCGTGTCCCTGTTGTGCCTCTTTCCTCTTTTCTTCAGCGTCTTTGTGCCTGTTCCCACTTTTCTTCAGTGTCCTTGTGCCTGTTCTCTTTTCTTCAGCATCCTTGTGCCTGTTCCCCCTTTTTTTCAGTGTCCTTTTGCCTGTTCCCTCTTTTCTTCAGCGTCCTTGTGCCTCTTTCCTCTTTTCTTCAGCATCCTTGTGCCTCTTCCTTTTTTTCTTCAGCATCCTTGTGCCTCTTTCCTCTTTTCTTCAGCATCCTTGTGCCTGTTCCCTCTTTTCTTCAGCGTCCTTGTGCCTGTTCCTTTTTCTTCAGTATCCTTGTGCCTCTTTCCTCTTTTCTTCAGTGTCCTTGTGCCTCTTCCCTATTTTCTTCAGCATCCTTGTGCCTCTTCCCGCTTTTTTCAGTGTCCTTTTGCCTGTTCCCTTTTCTTCAGCGTCCTTGTGCCTTTTCCCTTTTCCTCGTATGCTTGTGCCTCTTCCCTCTTTTGATTCCTGGACCTTGTTCTTTTAATTATGTCTTCATTCCCCCCTAGGGGTGAAATGCTACCGGTTCAAACCGGTTCTCCTGAACCAGTAGTAAAAAAATGCTACCGGTTCAGGCGAACCGGTATTTCCGACAATCAGCTGGATGGCGATCATCTGTGACGCATGATTTAAATTAGAATTGTCGGGTTTCCTGTTTTCTAGCTAATCTAAATCACGTGGCACAACAGATCCACCCCCTCGCTGTTCTACTTACCTTTACAGACTTGGAAGGCTTTAAAATGTTCCTTTTTTAGTGCAGGCGCACCTCAAGCGTGCATGCGTGCGAAGTGCACACTTGGTAGCAGACTCACAGAACCGGTAGCAGACTTCAGAGGATTTCACCACTGTTCCCCCCCCTTTTTTTGCTTCCTGAGTACACAAACCAGCAAAAGTCCATTCCTACATGGATTCTCAGAAAGGATAGTAATTAGATAAAATAGAAAAATCGATAGGATCTCAATCTCTTGTCCTAGAATGCAGTCCTTGTCCTACATTTCTGAAAGTTGGGGTTGCAAAATAGATGGTCCGACGCCATGCGTAGGTGACAAAAGTGCTTGCATCAAAATAGTTCTCAAGGTTTTGGGGGTTTTTTTGGTTCCCGAAAGAGGCATGGATTGGAGGAAGAACCACACCAGATACATCCTCTGGAGGCACTTTTGTCGAGTTCTACCTTGGCCCCGAGTTTGTGTATTTCACTAAGTGTCTTACCATAGCCCAGTCCCTTTTGATGGACTTCTGAGTTATTTTGAATTTTAAAACGATGATGGGTATATGTCTAATTATCCTTCCTTTCTTTTGTATTGCCGAAATGTCAATGTAATATTTTCTACACTGCGTAAGGAGGTGTGTTGAGAGGAGTATTTTCCATTTTCTTTTTTCATACAATAAAACAAAATTAAGTTTTCAGTGGAGCTTCCTTTTTAAGCATGGTTACAGAATAAAATATATGGTCTCCACCAGTCATCCGATGGGTTGGTACTGAGCTTTTTAAGAGTCATCCAAGGTTGGCTTGGAACAAGGTGGAGTAATTTCTGGTCCTGTCCCTCCATTATGTCAAAGAGAAAAAAAGGGTTGGGGACATTTATGGATTTCGGAATGGCTTCGTTCTCTCGCTCGATTTCTGAAACTGGGATTTGGATGAGCACCTGGTGCTGGGATTGGCACCCACATCCGTCCCTGGCGCTATCTTGGAGGAGACGGGACCCGCATAAATGAAGGGAGCCAGTCTGTGCCTGCTAGGAATACATTTTATTTTCCAAGGACGTGAACTTATCTTTCATCGGTATAAGTGACTTGAGTACAATGCTTTGCTAGAAAACAAATTAGTAAAATAGCAGATTATTCTGTGGAAAAGGTTATTATTAAACTGAATAGAAAACAGGCAAGGGGGGATGAGCAAGAAAATGCCACAAAGTTACTTCATTCTTAAGACACAAAAATAGGCTCCAGTCTCAGCGATGTTACGACACCAAGCAAGGCAGAGCGTGGCCGGAAAGCCTCAGGGGCAAGGCAGAGGAAGCGGTCACGAGGGCCCCCCCTTCCCCTGCACAGAAATGGGCTCCGCTCCGCTGGCCAGCTGGCCGCAAAGCCACCTGCACAAGAGCAAGAGCGGACGTGGGAGTGAGCAGAGCGCGTTGCCTTCACATCGGAAGCCGGAGGAAGGGAGGGAAGGGGAAGAACTTCAACGTTTTAACAGAGGGGCTCCCACCAGGGAAAGCCTCTCCTCCTTCACATGCTCGGGATGCTCCCCAGCTCGGCTGCTTTTTTTGCACACACAGAATGAGCATCTTCTGCTTGCTAAATTCCAGTTATAAACTCAAAAAACAGTCAAGCTATAGTGTTATTTGTCCTTTTTTTTTTTTTAAACAAGAAAAAGACCAAACAAAAAGCACAGGGAAGAATCTGATAATATTCCAGGGATTAATAAAGGGAAGATGCGTAAAGACCAGGGCCCTCTCTTTGGGGTGGGGTGGGTCTTCAGGGGTCGCTCTTCTTCTTGCTCTTCTTGAGGAAGGACGGGGTACGGAACTTCTTCTTCTTTTTGGAGGGAGATTTCCCCGGAGACTCCTCGCTGCCGGCTTCGGCCGCTGCCCCCTCCTCGGCCAGGGGAGAAGGGGGAGGCTCTCCGCTCGAGGAGGGGCAGGGCTGGGGGCTCTCAGGAGGACCCTCCTTCTGGGGGACGGCAAGGTCGGGGTCTTCATCCTCCGTCCCAAAGACTTCTTCGGAAGGCTGGTCGGGAGCGGTGAGGTCTGGGAGGCTTGGCTGGGAGGGGGCCGCTTCGCTGCTGCTGTCGCCGCCTTCATGGCCCGTCTGGACAGGCAGCCGTTCTGGGGGAGCAAGTGACAGGAGAGACGGGTGAAGAGGGGGCTTCTTTGCACCCACTTTCTTCAATTGGCCTCTGAGGGGAAGGGGTTGCAATCCTGGGCAGCCCCATCCCACCTATGTGGCCCGAGAGAGAAGCTGGCCAGATTCTCCCTGGGGATATTTACACGTAACTTGAGCCGTCTCCTCTCAAAGGGACTCGTTTTGCAAGACAAGGTTTGCAGCATTGCGGGGCTGATGACAATTTGCCATGGCCAACTCGCTGTGGGGACAAGAGTTACATTAATATTAATAGTGGAGTAGAACAATTAAAGAAAGGATGCAAAAAGGAGGGACATAATGAAATGTGAAGGGCAAACATTAAATTTATTTAAGTAATTAAATAGAATTGGTCAATTGTCCCACAATGAGCTGGCCGTGGCGAGTTGGCCCATTCCGCCATTGCGAGACTAAAATACATGCAAAGAACCCCAAAAGGGTGGATGCTCCCAATTTGGGGGGGGAGGGGCTCTTGCTTGCTTTAGGGACTTTCCTGGCTGCAGGGGGAAGGGACAAGAGAGGTGATCTTAAGCTCAAGATGTTAACTCAGTTGCCTTCTGGGTGGAAATGTGGAAAATCACATGGTGGTTTCCCCGAATCTTGCCCAGGGGATCGGCTGCCCTCAAGGTAATGGGAGGTTTTGGGGTCAGCTCCGGGGTACCTGGCATTCTGTGCCACCCTGGTTGATGGCACCAATCCTCCCCTCTCCCCCGTGGAAGAGCTGTGCTTGTGGAATGGTTAAGGGGAAGGTGATGGCACTGGTGGCCTCTAAGCTTGACGCTCTACATCCCGAAGAACTACCCGTTTCCCTGAAAATAAGACCAGGTCTTATTTTATTTTTTTTGGCCCCAAAATAATCACTAGGACTTATTTTGGGGAGGGGGGGTGTCTTATTTTTTCCCCCAGGTACAGGAGGCCCATTTCTTCTGCTTGCTCGCAGGGGAAGGTGGAGCTGGCTTACCTCAGGGCCCCCGCAGCCAGACCACCCATGCTCTGACAGCTGCCTTGCCTCGTGGCAGCAGCTCCAACAACCCCATCCAGCAGGACCCCGTGTCCACTTCTGCTTGCTTGTAGCCACAATGGAGCAGGAGGCTGAGTGATGAACCAGTGCCATGGTAACAAGGCAAGATGGGGTGGACTTGTCCCACGTGCCCACCAGCTTACCTCAGGGACCCCACAGGCAGGCCACCCATGCCTTGGCACCTGCCTCGCAGCTGCGGCATCAGCACACCGCTCAGCCACCTGCTCCGTTGCGGCTGCAAACAAGGAGAAGTAGGCCGGTGGCCACATGGGCCGCACATGGTGGCTGGTGCTGCCACCACTAGGCAGGCGTCGGGGCATGGATGGTCTGGCTGTGGGGGGCCCTGAGGTAAGCCAGTGCGGAGCACGTAGGGCAGCTCCACTGCCACCCTGCCTTGTGGCTGCGGCAATACGAGCAACCAGATTGAATGGGTGGGCAGGCGGCTGCGCAGACTGTTAAGTAGGGCTTATTTTGGGGGTAGGGCTTATATTAGGCACACATGTAAAAATGCTAGGGGTTATTTTCAGGATAGATCTTATTTTGGGGAAAATGGGTAGAAATACTTGCATCACTGGCAGAGCAAAAAAAAAAAAATTCAGGGACCTCTGCCTAAGGGGGTCCCCAGACTGTGGGGTTCACAAGCATAGGCTGACGTCGGCCTTCAGCCTCACCCAGAGCTGCTTCCAGGTCTGAGGGAAGAGTTCCTGGATACAAGGCCTGGGAGGCTGCTCCAGGTGCTCCCAACCTCAATTTCTCTTGAGGAACAGGAGGGACTTTTTCCAAATGTCCGGAACAATCCTGGACAGTCACCAACTGCCATCCCCGTTTTTTGGTGGATCAGGGAATGGCAAAGTTGTGGGCACGGTTTAGTTCTTTCGGGGGGGGGGGTATGAAAACCCTCCCTTCCTCCCTCTGAAATCAGCAATGGTTGAAACAGGTAGGCCTTTCTCAGACAGGTGTGCACACCTCTCTCTCTCTCTCCTTCCGTTCTTATAAGCCAGAGGTGGGCAACAATGGCCCCTTTAGCACCTGTGGACTTCAACTCCCAGAATTCCTGAGCCACCCATGGGAACTGGGAGTTCCAGAGTTGGAATTCCCAAAGAACTCAGGGAGTTGGAAGTTCGCGGGTCCTAAAGGGGGTCACAGTTGCCCACCCGTGTTATAAAGGAATGCAGGGACTCCAACAGGCAGCTTGGTGGCCAGCCAAGCAAACGTCAGCTAATTTTGGTATCTGAAAGGCTGATAATGCAAAGCTGCATGCGTGGGATCAAACCCAAACCTGTGTGGGGTCCCAGAGCCCTCTGGGGGCTGAGAAGGGGAAGAACACCCCCCCCAGGAAGGAGAGGGGGAGAAGCATCCTTTGGGCTGGTCCTTGGAGCCAACTCTTAATGTGCAAAGGGGGAAGAGAACACCCAACTCTGCAGGGAACCTTTGGACGTTCTGCTTAGATGAAGTGAGAAAAAAAATGAAGGGTTGGGGCGCCCCTCAGCCAGACACCTCAGCAGTTGCAAGGAAGAGCAACAGAGCAGCTCATGACCTTGTTCCATTGGATCAAAGCAACAGAACTCAGAGTTTATATTGTTCACTCTGTTAAAAGACATTTCCTGGTTCTCCTGCCAGGAAAAAGGCCATCTTGTGATTCTAAGAGGAAGGAAAGAGGTTCAGAAAGAAAAAAAATAAAATAAAGAAAGGCGTAGCAGATTCTGGAAAGATTCCAGGTTACGCTCATTATTAAGTATATGGCATTTAAAACACAAGTGAATCAGGAGGTGGGAAGATCTAGCCAGATCGTTCTCTTTATGTTTTCAAAGCAGAAGTTGGGGGTCTTAGAATCGTCATCGAATTTTTTTACCGTTCTGTGGGATGTCCTACTGTGTTCTCTCCTTTACCTTTTTAAAAAAAATTATTTGTATTCAAACAATTCTGCACATTGTGTATTTTCGTTTCAAGTTTAGAATTTGTTAGCACAGGGGTCATAATGACCTTGAACTCAGCAAACCGAACACTGTTAGGAGTTTAAAAAACAACAACAACTTTGTTAGGTAATTTAAAAGCGGAGTGAAAGGATAAAAGCCATTTGGCAAATTAAAAGCTCAATTAGCTTTGCTGGAAATACTTCACAAGTCCTCTTTTTAACTCTCCTTTCCTGCTTTCCTTTTTTTTTTTTTTAAGTGCTCTGGACAGAAAAACAGCCACTTTTATAATTAGGATATAAAACGCCTGGTGGCAAGGCTATAGAGAACATCAAAAAATTACTTCATAAACCATTATCTGGTTCATTAGATTATACCTGAAGGGATGTTCTCTTTCTAAGCGGAGAGCCTTAAGAAGAAAAACTGGGACCTAATAAATTAAGTGGTGCTAATATGCATCCTTGATAACTTACATGAAATATGTAGCCATCCCGATAGATTTAAAGGGATGGCGGGTTTCCACTTTATAGAAATTACGACGAGTTTTGCCACCGTACACATACAGATAGGACTCAAAAGTTACGACGGTCATAGGTTGAGGACCAGAGAAA